TTCAATGACCTGTTAATCCTCAAGTTGTCACTTTCATATATATTCTTCCCTTCCAAACTAATTTTCTTTAGTTACAAGGATACAATAAATGACTCTTTGGACTTAAAATATATGCTAGGTTTTGAAGGTTTTTTTCCTTATAATTTATTTATTTTTGGCCCAGTTCTTGTTAAGATGTTAGGTGGGCATTCAAAATTCCCACCTGCTTTCCCAAGGACTGAATGTTCTTTTATTTGAATCACTGAATATTCTGGTAAATACTTAAAATCCACTTCCCTTACAAATAGACAAAAGAGTTCAGTTATTTTGAGATTTCCAAAATATTTTCAGATAACTAATCTGGGTGTGTTTGAATTTCTGTCTTTAATTCTCTACATTTTATTTCAGATTTTTGATGCTCAAGATCTGGCCAAGTAAGTATCTAAAGAACTCTTCCTGGTGCAGTTTTATTTTTCTCTAATGAGACAGTCATGTCTCAGACTTGATAGCCAATAAATTAATCCTAACACTTTGTATCAGGAAGAATCACCGCAACTATGTGCTAGGCTGATTATACGCTATTTACACTTATTGTATATGTGATTATTCTAATGATTATATTTTTTCTTGCAGCATATGATAATTTAATTACTATAATATTATCTTAGTTTTAATTTTGCATTACTTATAAGCAGAATTTCAGTTAAGAACTGTAATACAATCCAAAGTAAAGCAGCTCCAAGTTGACAGGAAATTACATTATTTTTTTATTCTTATACTATCATATATTTCTCCTTATTTCTATTAAAAAACAACCCAGATTATTTTTGAATATCTGCTACAATGAAGAATTTTATGTTTTTCAAAAACCTTCCATCCTAAAATATTCCAGTTTCATATGAGTCAATTGAGGTAAGTTGTATAGTCCTACATTCTTTTTTTAATCCTACATTCTGATGCTATAACAGAAAAATGAATGTATGGCATAAAGTGTACTTTAAATAAAGAACTTCTATTTTTATTGTGTTGACTGTACATTCCAAAGTGCATGCATAATTTTTACTTAATACCATTACAAAAATAATTATTTCACTATATTTATATAGCATAGTAACTAGTGCTAAGAAATGCCCTAAAATAAACAATCTATTATTAAATTTACTTTGTTCAACAACAGATCATATAAATTAATTGAAGTTTACTCAATCACATTCATTAAATTCATGTTGTAATAATTTTTATATATTTCTCCATGGGATTTGGTTGTATACTAGTACATGACAATTTGAGTAGTTGCTAAGTTACACATTGAGGAAGAAATGTAACAGGAACAAAAATCAGTTTTATAACCCATTTATTACACCTATATTAGGTCTTGTATCCCCTCATTACATTTCTGAATTGTGCAATAACATCTTAACTGCACAGGAAAGGAAAATAAAGCTTAAAGAGACAAAAGAGTAGCTCAATATATTACAACTAATTAGTTTATTTATTTATTTTTAAAGAATTGATTAACAGTTTTTATGTTATTTAGAAAAAACTTCTGATTCTAGGGGAATGTTAGACTAATACACTTTGAAATAGTTTTACAGAATAATCATTTTTTTCCAAATTATTCTAGTCAAAGTAAGAAGCCAAAAAAATTATAAATGTTGCAAATAATATTTATTAA